TCAGCAGAGGGTCGCCGGTGAGGATTGTGGGGCAAAAACATTGTGGGCGGAGCCTGCTCCGAGGTGGGCGGAGCCTGCTCCGAGGTGGGCGGAGTCAGTAAAAATCAAAAATTCATAACTTATTTGTATTTGTTTATTTGTTTATTTACCTGTTATTTATTCTACAACAATCCAAATACACCCATACTACCACTTCAGTTCATCCACTGAGCATCCAGTTCCCACTTCTCACTCCTTTCCTTCAGAAAATTTCACAACCGTCCACTAGGGGTTGCAAGGCCCGGGACACTCCGCCTGCATAAGTAGGATCGCCTGCAGACGACCCGACTGGTTTTCAAAAAGTTATCCAGGTCAAGCAGAATTAATGAGCTCGCAAAATTGTCGACAAGCCAAGCTCTCTTCGATAAATAGATAAAGTCGTCCTACGACACTACAGGCAACAGAATGCGCGCATGACATTCACCAAGTCGTTGTATTGCAGATTGAAAAAAAAAAAGTGCACAAGAGTCACGCGTCTGTAGCCGTTCTGTCACGCCCTTTCAAGTGGCTGTGGTAGTACACTCGATGCAGGAGACCTGGATGCTAAACGCATGGAGGCATTATCACTTGACAGCGGAAACTTGAGTCGCAGCGCCCGTTCGGTAGTGCAGACTGCAGTTTACTCCTTCAAGGGATCACATATGAAGGAAGTTTTGGCTTTTCAAAGCATTAATACTCGTAGATGACAAAAATTTCAACAACAATTTCTCAACGCGGATATTTCTTGAGAAAGAAAATGTCTAGAAGGGGTAAAGCAAAAAATGAGTGTCGAACCCAACATTCCGCGACCCTACTTTTCCCCTCCTCAGATGTTTCACCCTCAAAAACTGGATACGGTCACAAATACTCAAAAAAGGTACTTCTGGAACTCCTGGCCCATTTTTTCCAATGCCACGGCAGAAAGCGCGCTCAGTGCAACTTCTGACAATGAGTGCGCGAAAGTTAAAAATTCGAGAGTCGAGAAAGGCGCGTCGGTGCTATCCCATTTCATCGGGGGCGTACGCAGACCCTCTTCGTGTCCAGGAGAAAAATTAAACGACGCGGTGGCGTGACCTGACTGCAGTGAGAAAATGGTCACCGACTAGTGGGGGCATAGTATAGACGGCGATTTAAAAATCTTATACCTTCATGAGACGGGTATTAAGCAGAACGGCACATCAAAACAGAAACAAATATCACTATAACCATCAACCACTGACCACGTGGGCACCTAGGGTGCTCTTGTTCGCTGCGGACGACGGGGCGTGTCAAAAAGGGATGGGTTTGGCGCGGCGCCAGCCCGCTTTGTATTCTTCCGACATGCCACAAGACTGTGCCATATCGTTCGTATCAATCGCTTTCCACCAGCGATTGTCGCTTACCTTCAACAACTGATGGAGGACGGAGTGGCGGCGCGCCATGTCGAGCCTCCCTCACATGTCCCATCATCCTCAGCGATCAGGACAAGGTTTCCTTACACTTCTGTGATACAAAGATTACTTGAACTACGTAAAATAAAAATCGATATTTGTTGACACCTCAAAGCTTCTATTGCTGCATTCATATTCTACGCCTGTGTTTGAGTGAACGGCAGCATTTCAAGCGTTCGAGCGTACGCCAGCATTCTGAGCGGTTTTGCGGGCAGTTTTGAGCTCTTGGCGGGCTATCAAGGGAAACGCTGGCGTACGCTCAAAACGCTAGATCAATAGCTATACTTTCCCAGTCGCTCAAAACGCTCAAAACGTTGCCGTACTCCCAAAATACGCAAAGTATTACGCACAGCCCTAGGCCGTTAAAGGTGGAGGCTTGAGCCTTTCATATACACCAATGAACTTATCAAAGAATTGGTTTCATGAATTTCAATTCATGCGACTTATATGAGAGTCAAAGGAAGTTCTAGACAACTTACTGAGTTCTCTCAAGGTTTCTGTTACAACAGTGATTTCTTCCGAATGGCTCTTTTCAAAGCCGAGTAACTGCTCCCACAAATCCTGGGCATTGCTGAGTGTGTCAGCGTACATCAGCTCTAACATTATGAAGCCTTAAACAAAGAAACATTTGTCATAAATAGCGTGTCCCCTCATCTGATCCTGCTGATCGGATTTTTATTACGAAGAAAAAGATAATAGAGAGATACCCGCCCATGTTACAAGTCATGAAGGCCTTCCCTTACCATGCGAATACGTTTTTGTCAGGAAGGCTGCACTATTCAACTATAATTATTCCAAAAATTTAAGAAAAATACTTGCTGAAACTTGGCCTAAAAGGTTTATTCGACGAACTGGTTGCAAGTACGACATTCGTTTTCGACGCTGGCGCCATCTTGTGCCACTGGGCGCCGAATTGTCACCATTTCCTTTTTTAAAACCAATAAAAACTTGCAAAATATAGTCATTCGATGACTTGATCACGAATACGACATTCATTTTTCGATTAAGCGCTCTTTAAGGATGACCGTGAAGAAGGATAGCAGAGCTCAGAGTATCGCAGTGTCCTTTATTAGCACCAGCGCCAAGAGTCAATATTATATTCGTAATCAGGAAATCAAATAACCCTTGTGGACAAGTTTTCAGCGGATTGCTGATATAGGGTATCTTCGCAAGGGCGCCAGGGACTTTCAGGTCGACCGGATGTGATATTTGTGTTGAGGAGGTCAAACTACGATAGGACCGGATTTTAAGCCAAATCTGCCCCCCCCAGAAAAAAATAGGCAAAAAATTGGCCTGCTTCCTGAAGATTGGTGCAGTAATAGTTGCATAGCGCCGAATGAAGTTATGTGCGAACCACAAAGTGCCAAAGCGAACAAACTTACTGTTCACACCAGGGCCGAAAAATTGCGGTCCTTGAGGCATAGCCATGATAAAACAACGAACAGCACAAGTAGTACCCTAAACTGATCGTTTTCATAATGAATAGTTCAGACCGAAGAAAAACGAAGACATTCACCGTAGTCAAGCAGAAGCTAAAATGCCGATCCACAGTTCTTAACAGCCCGCAACAGGAAAGTGGTCTGTCTCGAAGTAATCAGAGTTACTGTAAGGATGAAATGTTACAACGAGTCTTGACAGCATTACAGACAGAGATATTGCCAGATAAATACATGTTGATAAGGTCATTACTGCTTCCACACCTGTGAGGAGAGCTATAGGTGTTAACGAAGTTGGGCACTGCTACATGGCAGCGCCTCTGCTTCCGTTCTCTTAATCAAAGTTCAGGCATAAAGCACAGACGACCAGAGTCGCATGGAGTATTGCAAACAGAATAGAGAACAATGGCTGCCGAAGCGCTACGAAAAGATCCACGAAAAGAGACATAGTGTGGCCACGCCAGCTACTTTGGTACCTGATTATATGGCCTACGGTCTGGGTAGTACATGAAACACCTTAGCACAAGTGTTCAGCACTAGCAGCAGTATGTGCAAACTATACTATACTGCACAGCATCACGTGCTCATATCACAAATGATATGGGAATGGAATAGTTTGTAGCCCAACAATGGAATGCATTTGAAAATAGAAAAGGCAGCTGAAATAGTAACAGTTTCCTAGTATTACTCTTGGGAACACGAATTTTGACCTACGAGCACACCCTTACCTGCCACGTCGAGTCTGGATACAATACAACAAAAAACAACGAATTTCCCGAAGAACTACACACTAACGAAGACATGTATATACTAATACAACAACAGTATTAGTAAATACAATGTTGTGTTTAATACTCAATACAACAGCTAGTATTGAAATCTCTTAGATCCCACTGGAGCACACTACAAACGAATAAAATGTGCGTAAATTATTGTAGAAGAAAGGTAGGAACAGCCTTGGTAGAGCCTTTCAATCAACTTTTCTTAGGTTTGAGCTTCCTTTTTTAGAGATTGAAAAGTCGTGAACATTTGAACATTTGAAAAAGACTCGCTAGAGAACCCAAACAAACTTGAAGACAATTCCTCTAGGTTTGCAGTTTGTAACATCGCGATCAGTCGGGGCGTTGTGAGAAGGGCGGGATAAGCCTACCTCCGATTGCTTGCTCTACCAATGGTGATCAGGAAGTGATCGGTTCAAGAAGAAAAGAACCAGTCGCGGAAACGCCGCAGGAGAGGTCAGTCCATCGCTCTTGGAATCTACTCGACTGATCACGACAATACTGACTATAACTTCATGTGTGTATCGATCTCAAATTTACTGACTTCTGAGGGTACGCAGAGGGTGAGCGAACCGAAATCTAGCTCGAAACAAGGTCTGGCCCTCTTGTAAAGGCTTTATTGAGACTTGCGAAGAACTGGATAGCAAGTAAACCGATAGTGGACTCTAGTGGGCGTTTTAAAATACTACTTGATAGTAGAATGAATGAAAGAAGGATTAATGAATGAATATCACAAAACTAATTGGGGTGCGATTACGTATGCTACGTGGCAACTGCCGGAAGACGACATTAGGAGCCTTGGAGAGCTATCTGGACCAAACGCATCAACGAACCGGCCAAGCGGTCTGTCCATAATTTGAAAAGGGACTTATACTAGCGTCAAGAAAAAGAAACGTGCCGCGCGTCCCCAGCCACTTTCCATGCTTATTTGCCGCATCAGGCCTCGGCTTACTTCTTCTTCCACAGCTCTATCTGAGTTCCCCAAAAGAATAAAACCTGTCAGTGTGATCATCACATGTGGCTGGTGGCCGCAGAGATGGACATGAGAATGCAAAAGCTACTTTATAGCAGTTAACACAAAAATAAGGTGACTATTCAATATTGATGCACACTTCACAAGTTCGTTCGAAATCGGCTACCGATTGTAGGTCAAAACTATGTGCCATCCTCGAAACTTGAGATAATAAAATAATTCCTCGCATCTTGCCACTTCTAAACGTTTTCAACGACGAAAGTTCTCTCCTTGCAGTCGGATACTTGAATTTTTAATGTTCGCGCGCAGCGAGAAGCTGCACTGGGGTACGCTATTTCGCGGTATCTTGCAGAACAAACCAGCAACCAGAAACTACCCTTTTTGAGTGGTGCTAATCTAAACCAAGCCGAGGCCTCTTTGAGAAAAATTCTGCGCGCGCGGAATTTTAGGAATTTTAAATACTTTATTGTTGCATGCGATTGTACCCATTCACCTTCAGCATCTCCACCTGCACTTATCAAGATAGTACGGCGGATATAGAAGCGTTGAATAAGTACAGCAGCGTGCAGCAATAAAGTGGATTCAGCCGCATCAGTTTAGCGAACGAGGCGGCGACTATTCCGAGCAGCAACTGATTTTGTTCGGAACTCAGCACTCCTGTGATAGCTCGCATTGCTGTTAATAATAGCCACGCTCAAAGCCTCCCCCTCCCCGCTTTCTTGCTCCTGGCTTTTTTCAGTCTTTCTTGATGTGGCAATTAAATGTCGATGCTGAATTAAGGATTGTTTCAAGTACCCTTCCCTTGTCGCATAGAGGTTACTCGGATCGCTAGTCGCATCATTCCTCATTTAGCGAAGTTTGTCGTTCTTTATTTGATTATGGTATTTTATCATACGAATAACTTTGGTCTGTACATCCAAAAAAGCTTCACGGAACTTTGTAGAACCATAAGGATGCCTACTTAATCGTAAGTCGCACTAGTCTTTCCATGGAATTCCTCTAGGTCCACGACCATAACTAGATGATCCTGGTACGGTACTGCAATGTAAAGAGAGCATGCTTTGCATGGTCAACGCAGATCACGTGACCACGATCTCATCGATCTGGCGGAAAGGGCTCTGAGCGGGCTCCGGTCAACGCTGCTCGTGTGCAGCGACCGGTGCTTCCCCCTCCCCTCCTCCATCCCCCCCCCCTGTTTGATTGTGTGACATCCTTCTCATCAAATATGCAATCCTTCTTATGTGGCGAATCAGCAAATTTCCTCTATTGTCGGTGCTCCCTCGCTCTCTTTATCAATCGGATCGACTGGACGATAATCGCTGGCTTATTATTAGTGGTGGCTCAATAGTGGGAGCGTAGTGGTACTGCAGTGAATTACTACTGACCATCGGGAAGGTCAAAGGAAGGGCTAAGAGTGACCTGTGACCTAGGAGTCTAGGTCAGTCTCCTGTCACAAAAGTGTGCCTCACAATTTTTATTTTTCTAAAGTTCGCGTAAGACGGAATCTTTTGCATGAACAAAAACGTGTCCACCCGAATCTTTCGTGCAAAAAACTGAAGTGTTTTCTATCGACACGAGCTCATCGTGAACTCGTAAAACATTTCTTTAGCACCTTCTTGGACTGCCCAGAAGCTGGAAGCGGAAAAAAAATTGCTTTCTTGAAATAACATGAAGTTTAAGTCCTTTTTTCTTTTTTGTGTTCACATAATTATTCACGTGGAGTGTTTCGAATAACCGTGATGATTTCTCTTCCTTCTTTTTTGGTCAATGTCGGACACTGTCTGTCTCCAGTGTAGAAGTGTGCTAATATCTAACGGTATTTTCGTTTTTTACTGAATAGCTTAATCAATTCTCTCGATATCATCCTGCTCACGTTTACTGTCGCCTAAACCTACACCCGGAAAAACAGCCGGACGAGTTTTACGGGCGCAAGTCGTCCACTTCGTTGTGGGACCACGCGTCCCTTTAACTTCATTTGAATTAGGATACTTCAATAAGAGCGGTTTTTTGTGAGATTACCGCTCTTGTGCGTAATCATAGTTAATATTTTCGAGATCTGCTTCTGCTTCGAAAGGCTGATGGAAGTGGATACTGACTTACCGGTTTCGTGCTTTGCTAAGTGCATACTGCTTTTGGCTTTGTGGATTGGTTCCGGAGCTTCCGCATGAGCAAGAGTGGCTCCCATGTTTGTACTCGGGGCTGCTCTCGTTCACCTGCAGAAGGGGGTGGGAGGATACAAGTAAGAGCGTTATTATGTTGTGGACTGCGTTGTAATGGGCCTAGTTATACCCTCTACTTCGCTGCGGACGGTTGGGCGTGTCAGCCAGTATGAGGTGCACAGCGTCAAGGCCGTTCTCTGCCTTCTTGTTGAAGCGCGCATGCGACAAAAAGTGGTAGAAAACGAGTAATACGATCGATATGATACAGTCATATCATTTGTTCGCTTAAAACTGGTGGAGAACGGGTTTGGCACCGCGCCAAACGCAGCCGCACTGACACGCCCAACCGTCCGCAGAGAACTACACTATAAGCATGAATATCTGCCAATGATCCTGAAGAGTTAATTCACGTTTTCACGCAGCTGTACTCTTCTCCATTATAGCTGCATTTAAAACATTGTGCTTATGTTTTGCTGGAATTCGTTTACCATTGCGGCTTGTGAAGAATTGCAGTATGAATCTAGATCTAACAGAGATTTGTCGCTTTCCCTCGAGAGCTCTCTAAAACTGAGCGAGTCAAAAGTGTCTCCAAACCACATGTCAAACGGAAATTTTCGCGCGCCAGACATCTAACAAACAGCTCTTATAACAGCGGTTTTGTGCACACAATACCGAAGATAGGTTGTAGGTATCTTCCTGCGCTGAAATCCAACGCTGAGTGGCAGAACTTCTAAAAATGGTGGCACCCGACGGGATGTAGTCCCTAAAAAAACAGAAGATGCAGTTGGTGTGCTCAGGTTTCCGGTTGCACCTCAGGTTTCATGTGTCTCGAAAATATTAACTATGATTACGCACAAGAGCGGTAATCTCACAAAAAAACCGCTCTTATTGAAGTATCCTAATTCAAATGAAGTTAAAGGGACGCGTGGTCCCAACGAAGTGGACGACTTGCGCCCGTAAAACTCGTCCGGCTGTTTTTCCGGTGTAGGTTTAGGCGACAGTCTCACATCTGAGGCAGGCCGACCGTTCGTTGTCAGGGCATCAAACAACCTTATTATGCAGATTTCTATCTATGTGGCGCCAAATAGGCGCCAAATGGCGCAAGGGCAACATTCAAGTACTACTACCTCAAAAGGTCAGAAAAAAATGTTTTTTGCAGAAATTTTGTTCTTGCGCCATGCTGGCACAATTTGGCGCCGGTTTGGAGCCGCCGCTTCTCTCACCAAATTCCATGTAAATTTGCACAGGAGGGTCATCTGATGTCCATCACGAATACCGCATTAATTTTCAGCCCTGGCGCCACTTGGCGCCATTAGGCGCTGATATGTGCCACACCCTTTTCATCAAAATCGATAAAAACCTGCATAATAGAGTTGTTTGATGCCCTGATCACGAATATGACATTTATTTTCGACACCAGCGCCATTTAGCGCTCTTCTAAGGCTGAGTATGGGAGAACGAGTGATGCCCTTTAGGCCAGGCTAAGCCTTAGCAAGCGCAGATAATCGTAGCGCTCTTCTATCAGCGCCAGCGCCAAAAATAAATGTGATTTTTGTAATCAAGACGTCAAATAATCTCCCTATGCAAGTTTTCAGCTTCAGGATTTGGTGACCAAGGGTACTTTGGCGCCTTCTTATGGCGCGGGCGCCAGGCGGTTCCATACCGAATGGCGCTGATGTGCCGAATCATCCCTGGAACCTAACTTTAGGCCAAACCAGCCTTCGTAGAAAAATGTCGATCCGGCCTGTTTTCGGAAAATTGGGGTAGTAATTGTTGAATAGTGCCCAATGTATATACATATACATGAATATATTTATGCCCATATATAAGCGATATAATTTGTATACTGATACATGCGTTCATGTAACTTCGCCATCACCCTATTGGGAGAATAGAAGAATAAAACCAGGCGTGGGATTACGGTAGCCAATGACACCAGAAATTGTTGGCAACTTGCCGCAGCCGGCCCGTAGAAAACAATGGCGCCGTCGGGATTCAGCTAGTCTCCGTGGCAGCAAACAAAACTCACACAAATTCAAGCGGAGACAAAACCCCGTTTTGCGATATCGAGTTTTGCTATCCCCTTAACAACCAACTTCAAATGGCTAGGCAGGGAACTCGTCTGTCGGGCGCGGTGTCGCTCGCCACGGCCATCAGCGCGGCATATTGCGATTGTTTTGTCTCATACCCTACGCTAGGACGGAATTCCGTCGACGAGGTAGCCGCGAGATGTGTCGCTTGAAAATCATTTAAATTCTAGAAACACATTAGAGCTATTGCCTCATTCACAAATGAACTGTAGAAGAAAATCTGTTCTCGTGTGGATTTCTCTTCAGCAGCCTTTTTGTGAAGTTCCACCCAAAGTTACCGGATTGAGCCGCTGTCAAATTGTCCGATATTTTCATTCGAAATGCTTTCATTTGAGCCGTGCAACCGGTCTCTTCCATTGTTCGAGCAGCTCGAAGACTCAAACGAAGAAGCATGGGATTCAGCAAAACGACATCTTGCGCGCCTGCGAAAAGACTAGCTCTTACTAATTCGGCTACTTCTCGATCTTCAGGTGAGCGTGCAGACTTCACATTTCATAACAATGCGGCTCAACATGTACGGTCTTGTTCGCTGCGGATGTGCGCGTTGGGGCGGAGGGGCTAGACCTGGCGCGGCGCCAAGTCGTATACCATCGATTATTGAAGTGAGAAAGCATCAATAATTGAAAGGGAAACAGCTTGGTGCGTCGCCAAATCCAGCCCCCTACTACCCCAGCATCTGCAGCGAACAAGTCTACCACCTTCTATAGTCTAGTGAACCACCATTCTCTTTCAGCAACAAGACCACTGCCCGATTCAACGAGAACCGGCAGAGCTGCAATAGCGCAACCATCATATCAACCTCGCTACCTCCAGCCAACAGCAGCGACAACCGCTCGTCGTGTTGGTACTACAGCAGGCACCCGTCCAGATCCTTCATCGAATCGGCCGTCTACTATAAGTCAGTCCAGCTTTCATATTCTTTCTGGGCACTATTCAACTATTACTACCCCAGATTTCCGGAAACGGGCCGGATTTTGATCGACTTTTTTCTACGGGGGTGGATTTGGCTGAAAGTTGGGTTCTAGGGGTAATTCGACCTCCTGAACACGAATATCACATCCGCTCCTCTCGAAACCGCCTGGCGCCCGCGCCACAGGCGCCGGCGCCAAAGTACCCTAGATCACGAAATCCGCTGAAAACTTGTACCTAGGGGTAGTTTGACCTCCTAATCACGAATATCACATTCCCTCGGCTTGAAACCGCTCCGCTTCCGCGCTACGGGCGCCGGCGCCAAAATGCCCCAAATCACTGGCGCCTATGGCGCGGGCGCCAGGCAATTTCAGGCCAAGTGGATGTGATATTCGTGTTCAGGAGGTCGAATTACCTAGAACCCAACTTTCAGCCAAATCCACCCCCGTAGAAAAAAGTCGATCAAGATCCGGCCTGTTTTCGCAAAACTGGGGTAGTAATAGTTGAATAGTGCCTCTTTCTGTTATGTAAAGATACTGTATGAGTATGCTAACTGATAAGTGGACTTTTCCCGCGTGCAAAGTTGGTAGACTTGCAGATGAACCATTGCACAGCATCTTGATGTGTTGAATGACGGCATTGGTACGAACTAACTTCAGAAATTCCCTATTGTATGACCATCCCCTTCCCTCCCTTTCCCTCCTCGTTCTGCCTATCATCTTCCGTAAGTTTCCAACTTTCTACCACTTTTCGCAGTTTTGAAACTTCCCAGTTTCCCTCCCCCCAGTGAAAGAATCTGCCTACGAGCTGGGAGAGGAGCGAGGGGGTGAGTGTGAACCATCCTCCCTACAACCTATTGGTTTCAACTTTGAGGAATAGAACTGGTATGATAGTTCTGTGATCACGCCAGCTCGGGGAGGGGAAGCTATGTAGCATACATGGAACCGGAAAACCGAGGAAAGTCAACGACCGGAGAGTTTCCTCGTGTTTCGAAGGTTTCTTTTTACTATAAGTACGACTCCTCCCCAGAGACCAAGTACGATCCCATCCTGATGGATTTCTCCCAAGCTGTTCAAAAGATGCTGTGCCCTGAGCCGTAGACCTACAGTACCATTGACACTAAAATGTCCGGTAATGAAGATAGCGTATGATAAAGCGCTAGTTGTTTGTGCCTGCTGTTCGATACAGAACACACGCAAATCACGCCCTATGCCTCAAAGCCAGTCATACGCCCGACTACAGCTATATTTCCCTAGTGTGGCCGAACGACTGGCTATATGGCGTAGCTTTGGCGCGCATATCCTGTATCGAATAATTTGCGAAAAGATAAGGAGCACAGGATTATCGCAACCCTTCGTTTCGGCGCGGTTTAGGTAGCTTACTGGTAGCGTACTTTTCTATTGAAGAGAACTGCTTCAGGTTGCGAGTGCTTCTGCCATTGTCTGGATCGCTCATCTGCACCTGCACCCCGGGAAAGTGCAGATTTATTGGAAATGAAAAGGAAGATTTCTCAGCTCGATCTAGAATTTGTGACATACAAGACAAAATCGGAAATACTCGAGGTAATAAATGAATAGGAGCCTTGTCACCGCTTTCGCAGCTTTTGTTCAATAACTCTTTTTAGATGCAGCTAGCAGTATGTCGTCAGGTTTGTTGCATTTTGCTTTGTCATCATTGTCTCTGGAGCCCATGTAGCGCAGGTATGTTGAGAGCTAGGTGGCGTGTGTTATGTGACGTCAGTGAAAAGTCATCTCTCAACAAGCAGTGAAACTGCGTTACATCTGCTCATTTCATTGTGATGACAGTCCTTCATTTGGTCTCTTCAGACTTCACTAGATTGTTTGAAACAAATGAAACAAATAATCAATCGCATGAAAGAACAGCTGATTTCCTCACATAATGGCTCTGGAAAGAGAAAAGCGTAAATCGGCAACGATGCAACTATTTATCGATGTGGTATGTCCTCATTTTAAATCGCATTCTATGATTACCTACGAAATGGGATCCTCTTCACATGAATGGGGTATATAGAGGGAGAGTTGGAACCCGCAGGGCACATCATTGTTGGGATTCCCCAACAGGGAGGGGGTCGTATTTGGCCGCTGGGAGAGGGGGGGGTCGTAATGAGTGCGGTAGCCAGTAACGAGCAGCGCAAAGGTGTCAGTGTGCTGAGTCCTGTGTAGCGAAACTTGCTTTGTAGAGAATCCGGATATGTAAAAAGTACAAAACTCCCTTTGTTTGGACTGATCTGAAATTAAATTGGAAATATTAATAAGTCGACATCATCTCGTATATGGCTAAACAGTACAACTCATACTCTGGTTCGCTGCGGATGATGGGGCGTGTCCGCGATCGCGCTTGGCGCTGAGCCAACCTGTTTTTTTTCGACAAACGACAGGACTACCATATCGTTCGTATCAGACGTTTTCCAGCAGTTGGTCTCCTTTATCGGAGTCAGCAATTGGCGGAGCACAGATCTGGCGGCGTCGGACACGGACACGCCCCATTATCCGCAACGAACAACACTGTAAACAAGTGCGTAGGTTGGTCATGGAACTCCCTGAGTCCTGTAAACACCTCTGCTCGTGTAGACAGGTATTGCATCGAACTGCACCATCCCTTTACCTCTGCGTGGGAGCCTAAGCATGGCGCAAATGAAGCTAATGTGCGCTAAAACACCTACTGCTTGCTCCTATTCCACGAAGGGATGCATTCCAGATGCATTCCTGGATATCCGAGTACGCCCACTTGAAACGGTACACAGAAAACGGGTTTTTCGAGCAGCTCGGAGGTTCCTGCAGAAAACCAAAACGCGATTATCTCATGGATCCCGAAAATTCATAAACCGCTATCCGACGCCGGTTTTGGATTTACAAACAGTAAAGGTTTCGGGGAATTATCATCTTTCAAACCATGACAGTTTGCACCCAGTGTCGAAAATCCTCAACCAATCCCAACGCTGAATTTCTCTCTAATTTTGGCCACCTTCATAAACATTTATTACTTTTCGGGAAGCTAGAACCTTTTTCTACACGACTGCATTTTCTTCTTTTCCACAGGTCCCCTTTGACGAAGTTATGGCTCTTCAAATACAAGTAACTTTACCGGGAAAAACGCGTCCCATTCCAACCACCTTGCCGGGTTGGGTCCTACCCAGTAATTTCAATCAATTTCTCGGCCCGCCTGACTGCGGTTGTTCCTGAGTTCTTTGTTTTCTTGTTTTGTTTTTTTTGTATTGTCTCTCGCTTGGAATGTATTCATACTTGGCAAGACCATTTGAGCGTCTGTCTGCAACATGGGCATTTGAGTGACAAGGAATCTATAGGAACCGATCCAGCGCTTTGGGAGTCCGCCAGAGTTTGAGCGTGCGCCGGCGTTCTCAGCGACTAGGAGAGCATAGACATCGATCTAACTTTTTGAGCGTCCGTCAGCGTATTGAGCTAAGAGAGCACAAGTATCGATTATAGCTGGGAACGTTGGTGATGCTCAACACACTGGCGGCCGCAGCAAACGCTGACAGACGCTGGCAAAACGCTGCCACGAAGTATGAAAACGCATTCTTGGCGTCTCGGCGTCTCTGTTCACCCCTAGCTCGTCTAGTATTGTATCGTCTAGTATCAACAAGGTCTTATTTCTATATGGTTCGAACTCTCGAGCGGTTTGCTCTTTTCTTCACTGATATGTCCATCATAACCTACGAATTAATATTAGGGCCCCAGTGCCCACCATTTGCAATCCAGGGTCATGTCTTTGGACAAATTAGAGCTTTCCAAGCACTTGCGTTGTGGACTGTTTTAATGCTCGTAGCAAACACTCTTTTCGGCAAGTACTTTTTTTGGGGTTCCCATGACTACTGACTATCCTTTTGTAGGGGCCACTCCCAACTTAATGTTGAGGTTTCGGAAACACTTTCTTGCACTGTCTCTGTCTGTACTCGGTGGCCAGATTTTTCTGTACTCGGCGGCCAGATTTTGAGGAGTCACGTCTGCCTGTAGCCGTGTCATTTCAAAGGTTGTCGTATAATTGCGAACAGCTCAGCTACAGAGTAACCTCTTTTTTCATGGCTTTAGGGACTTCTTGAACTAACAAGTTTTTCAAGCGCTGTATCTGATTTTCAGATAGACGATGTAATAGTTGTTTTGCAGATTCTGAGTGAAATAGCTTCTTCGAACAATTTGGTAGCGAATGCAAGAGCAGGAGCGTCTCATCATCATACTGACAACTGATAATCAAACTTCTTCGGTTGATCCTTTTTCCTCTCAAGTTAATGTGGGTCTCTTGTTACTGTATGGGTCTCTTGTTGCTGAAATTCGAGACAAGAGATTTATGGTCATGTCTTACCGAAAACGAATAGCCCTGTGAGATCCTATGATAATGGTTTTATTCATAGTTTTAACGATTGTTTTCATGTGAATAGTTTACAATGTGACTTGCTCAATTTTTACCCCTAAATGTACCTGAACTTAACTTCATCTTTGTACAAATTTTGTATTCTCACTTGCATGCCTTGATGTGATTCATATTCATTCGATTGGAAAGTAAAGATCTCTGTAACCCTTGCGATTCGGTTGTTGCAGAAGCAGTCATTCAGCAATCTCAATGAGTGCGGTGTTATTTCCTCTAAGGAGGTGGGTCTATTTTGTAAACTCTTAAGAGCATATCGGGCATCGATACGAACACTACCATATCAGTTTCATATTGGGTAACTGCGTAGCACGGAGAATGAACACGATAATAAACAGTTAACATTGGGCACAAAACATGGGTAGGGTGGGTGACGAGAGAGAAATGGAAGTTCCTGGATTCATATTCGTTCCACAACAGTTTTCTATGAAACAACTTATGGCTGTTTATGGCATGGGAACCTCATATATGGACGCGACACATTCTAACAACGACATCACATCGAAGGTATTTTTTGAAAAGGGAAAAATATGAAACAAGCTGAGCCCATTTTCGAAAAAAGTAAAGTCTTCCAAATCTACTTTCATTTTTTCGTACGCTAAACTCTGAAAAATGTTATGATTGTTTGAAGAAAGGGTGCTCTCGCAGTTCCCCGCCAGCAAGATTTTACAAAATTAGTGGGGCGCTTCACAGCATATGGCAAGATTGAGCACGAACTGACACGAGCGAATATCTCAGATTCCTTCTTCGTGGTTATGTCGCGCGATAATAGCTACAGTCTTCGTTGCGTTGAACACTTCAAAATGTGTCCGTGACTTTTGAATTATGGAGAGCCATGGACAACTTGAGTAAGTCGGCGAAACTGCAATTCTCGAGTTGGTATAAAAAAAACCAAACACCGCGAAAAACTCGTTCGAACCCAGTGCGATTCCGCAATCAGTGCTCAGAGAAGCCAAGGGTTATAATAGAAAGTTTTTTTCGTACTGTATTCTTCACGGGCGCGCCATGTGGCCCTCGTCTGAGGGCTACTACTCTCGTTTTGCCATCCATACCATAGCGGCGCAGTTTGGCGCGAAAGGGGGAAGGGGTTTGACACTTTAGAGCGCGTTCAGACTTCGCGATCGCGCGATCCGGATCGCGTGATTTGGATCGCGCGATCGCTGTGATCGCGCGATTTGGATCGCGCGATCCGGATCGCGCGATCGCGAAGTCTGAACGCGCTCTTATACTACTCTTCCTGCATGAAGCATCACTTCAAAAGGGGAACAAGCATAACTTTCCTTGAGAACTCAGATGAGGCGAAAGCAAAAGCCAGGGAAAGCAGCAGGCTTGGTATTCATTGAAATGTCCCCAGGCCATGTTAACATCTTTCCTTCAGGAATATTTCCCCCGCCGTTGTGACATTTTGGCCACCTACGAGTTTCTTGCTTTAACTCTGGTCACATGTGATCTTTCGAGGAACCAATACAGTGCGGGAATCTAGAAGACTTCCACGCTGATCTATGGGATATCATTTTTTCCCTAAGCCGCTATTCGCAAAAGTCGCCAGTTGTGCTTTTGTTCTGATAGTTTCGTGCGACACAAAAACCCCCATCCCCCCCCTCCCCCTCCGGCGCAAAACCATTCATCTTTTGTTTTGAATAGACTTGCGTGAGCTTCTGAAACAATCTTCATTTGCATTTACTTATTATTAGGAAATGGTTTTTGGCACCAATTTGACATCCCGCTATGCATCTGACTCCCACGCAGAGGTTTTGGGTAGGCGTAACTTTCAGCCAAGGCTTATTCGTGCAAGCAGATGTGCTCCTACGGTTCAGAATGGTCCAAGCGTATAAATTTTTAGTTTATAGATTCGTCGGCGCGTGGGAGTCTTCCGTATTTCTTGTCATTGCCGTTTTCCACTTCTAAGCTTGCAACTTGCCTTCGTCTTCAAGTGTCCCTTCAGGCGTGCTTCACAGCAAGAACCATGAGTAAGCCTTTTATCAATCAGTGGTGGTCTCATTTGTTCTCATCTTAATATTGCAGCCAAGCGCTTACGACCCCTGCCCCCTCTCCTTGGCAGACGGGCAAGAGATTCGTATCTCGCCGCTTCGCTGCGCGCGGCAATGGGGCGACGTTTCCTCAACTTGCCTATTCCCGTTTCGAATTGGAGCATCGGATCCATGAAGAACAAAGGACATGGTAGATCACTTGTGCCTAAAAAATTTTCCACATACATTGTCTGTCTCGATCAATACCACCTAAGAATGCGCGTCATTGGCGTCGTTCGCACGCGACGCCCACTGGTGCAGCGAATTACGAATCTCTTGCCCCATATCGCTTATTCACGGACCGAAGACGACCCCCTTCTGTTGCATATTACAGGTTCAATGCCAAGGAGTCAGGCCACTACCTTTCGTGTGACTAACAAAGGTGATTCATTTGTGGCTCCAGAATTCAACAGTTTCACTAAAAAATTTCATTACAAAAACGAGATCCTTCGCACAATACTTCAAAACAGGAACATAAGGAAACAAGAAAACAAAAGCCTGTGGCTTACAAAACAAGAAAAAAACCATTTATATATGCATGCTGATTGTCACCGGCATTTATACGACACAGTTTTAGCGCAGAAATGCTGTTTTGGAAAAAGAAAATTAGGCAGTAGTCGAGGTAGCAGCTTAGGAATAGACATTAGGGATAAGTTAAAAAGTTACTGATCATTTTGAGGAACTCGGGAAGGATACTTCACATTTTGAGGAACTCGGGAAGGATACTTCAATCACCAGAATAAGAAAAAATAGTGCAAGTGAAAAGAAATGTCATAATCGCGGTTCAGGTACAGATTTTACACGTTTGTAGAAACAATAATAACAACGATTACTTGAGATGTTTCCCTTTTTTACCACCGCTCTAGTGAAAACTAACAAAATATATGCTCTGATAAAGATGTCACACATGGCAGTAGTGTAATGTGTACTTCATTTTAACAATATACTGTTATGAACAAGTTTAGCGGTAGTTTTACTACTACAAAAATAGGCAAGAAAACAATAAAATCAAATCATTCTCAGATTAACAGCGATTAGTGGACACTTTCCCTCACGAGCACTATTCGTGTCCAGGTTTGTAAAGCGAGCCATGGACACGAAGGCGATAAAGAGACGTGTATTCTGCACCATAGTTGCTTGTCACTTCCATTTCTATTATCTGCACCGGATAGTCTGGCTGAGTCTAAAAGAAAACCGCAATTCCACACTGAGCTACTACTTATCAGCAGAAACACTATTAGGTTGGCGGGAAAGTTCTGTCACATTTTTTCGAATTAGACTTTCTTTTTACAGAGAGGCGTACAAGATCAAAATTATACAGCAATGTTATTGCGGAGTCCATGTTTATGAAGATCCTAGAGCCAGTTTTGACAGTTCGTGATTGCCATCGCTAACAATGCACCCGGCGTCCGCAATGATTGAAGAGCCGCTCATGGCAGTTTTCTGGACCAGTTCGTCGGATACCAATGCGCTTAACAAATGCACTGCCGCCGCGTGACCGCAAAGTTGCCATCATCTCACTTTGGCTTGGGCTCCAAGTCGTTCGGAGGTTTCTGCGGCTGTATACACGGGTGAATAGGGATGGCGTGCTAGCACGTCAGAAAAGAAGCAATGTCTGCGACTACACCCAGCCTGCAAGGGGAGAGCCATCCAGCTCCATTGCATGAAGTACCGGCTCGAATTTTTGACGGGGTGTGCTGCACCAGCACGTTGAAGACGGACTGTGCCGATGGATTTTACCCTCTGCTTGACGATTTGCTTCAGATCTCGTGGCTGCCTTGCGTACGGATTGACCGAGGAGGCAGCTTCTTCATCCAGTAGTTTCCCGACCCAAAGCTATCTAGAGCTGAGTTTACAGGTACTCCCGAAACCTCACTTTCGTCATTCGAACCGTAGGCTCCCGCTCTGAAGAGCTAGCGTCGTGGAAGATTGTCTGATGACTGTAGACATTGTCCTTGTGCAGCTCCATTATTTCGGCGTCGACAGCTGCCATGCTGGCGCCAGGGTGGTAAAAAATAGTTTAAGGAAGCGCTTGAAGCGGGTCGCGTGCCCATACCGGTAGCCGATACACATTCTTGATCCATGAAAGCGCAGGATGGATGGAGCAGGAGCCGAGCAGTGAACACATCAATAAAAAACAAGTTCGCTTAATGTATAAATCCTAACATCACCGATTAAGCCCTCTTCAGGTAATAGGCTAATACTTGGGTTCAAAAAAGTATGACAGAACTTTCCCGCCAACCTAATACTAAGGCAGCGTTCAGACTTCGCGATGACGCGCTACAACTGCAACGCGTTCCAACCCACAAACACGATCTTAGCGCAGATGAGAATCGATCGGCGCCCAGCTGTTGTGCTTTGAGGGAAAAACAAGAGGGTAGGCATACCTTCACGCAATCTGTACTTCTCATTTCTCTCTATACTCTCCCAAGCTCTTAGTGCGATGGCGATACTAGACTGCAGGCCCAACGCACACCCTACTGCCCCCCCCCCCCCCCCCATACTCTCTCAATCAAGCGGTCGGCAGCGATCAATTCCTGTCCGTGACTACTCGCGCCTATATTATTGGAGCGCTGTCGCTTTTGTAGAGCGTCACGCCGACGCGCCTCATCGCGCCGTCTGAACGCAGTCTCGTCTGCCCCCTTGCTGCATAGTCTGCGCTACATATGCAGCAAGGGGGAAAAGACGCAGATGAACCAAAAGCAAACATCCCTACACCTTCTCCAAAGAAATGGAAGCAAGAGAGTGGGAGACGTCTGCGTTTCAGGGAAGAAGCTGCTTAAGGTAGAGCCACAAAAAAAACTTTTTACAAAGCCGTGCTCTCACGTCTTGAGCACCTAATTACGAGCCGCCTCAACCAAACTGACCCATACCAGAGCCAAAGTAAATTCTGTTGAAAACTAACCTTGATGACGAAAAACTGAAGAGGGCTCCCCTTGATGTCGTACATGAAATCGCCAAGAAGAACTCTAGTATTCATGTCAGCCTCCGATTTATAAGCCTAGAAGCCATTGTTAGGAATGAAATATTCCTTTGAAGGCAGGTGGCACGATTGGCGAGGACGGGCGCTTGTTCGCAACGTTTTTGGTTGGAGGGGTGCGAGAAGGCGCTTGGCCAGACCCCACACAGCCCCTCCACTAGTGGCACTGGCGGCAACCGCCCGTCTCCATCGATCGCACCCACTGTCGTCAATGGTGAAGGAACAAATGCAATGGAAGGAAACGGTTTCTTACCCATATTTTGAATGTTCTGGGGGCGCTTGGGCGTTCGCCACCCGGAGCCTGATGTGCACCTGGAAACATCGTTCAATCAAGCAACGACTAGTATGCAAATATACTACTTTCTCATCTCCAAAAGTTCAAAATTATTCAAGACAACACTTACCAATGTGCTCATAACTGACGATTGTGACATTGATAGGATGTGAAAGCCCTATGGTGATATATCCCACAGGTCCCTTGAACGACCAGCATTCCCCGGGGAACAGTGTCTTCGAGTTGCGCTACAATGGGAGGTTTTCTAAATTTCTTCACAGATACAAAACTAATGAGGCCTTCATTCCAACGGCGAGAAAGCAAGTTTCAGTATTTCAAAATAGCCGCGTCTCGTCAAGAATAAAATAGTCACCTGGATAACAGTTCTTGGACCGTAACTGGAGTACCACAGTGGTATGTTCCAAATCTTTTCAAGGCGTGTGTAAGTATCGTAATTCTCAGAACAACGAGTTGAGATTATGGATGCTCCTGAAATAACAACAGGTGTTACGAGAGGGATACATTTCGGGAGCTGGCTATGCCGGCATGTGACAAGACAATCGTAATATGCCGCAGTAGTGGGCGTAGCGGGCGACGACACCGTGCCCGAGACGAGTAGTTGCCGCACAATAGGCGCACACGACGACGTGACAAAGTACGATTATCTTAGCCGCTTTTCGCGATATTCTGCGACATGTCTAGTACTGTAAGTGAGAAATCGCAGTTTAACAATCTGTGAAACTCACCAGCACTCTCTAAAGCAAAATCGAACATGCCCGTCTTGTCGCTATCGTACTCGTAAATTGCCGAACGGATTAGCGACTCCAAATGAGAATAATCAACTTCAGCGCGCTGTTTCTAAAATCAGTTCGAATTTATGAATACAAAACCCGGACTGTCAGGCATGTGAGAAAATAACGAAAGCAGAAGGACTCAAAACGCGATACCTCTACTTTCATGTTTGAAAGCTTCTGCTCGTAGGAAGCAGTTAGCGACTTCAGTTCCTTTTCCAGTTTGAGTTTGAGATCTTGGTCCATTTTTGCTCGCACCTGAAAAAAATCTAGCGTGGTCATAAAAGTTGAGAGTCCATTCTCACTCCTGCGTTAGTGACACTATGTACCTTCCACCCCACCTGAACATACCTAAAAGGCATACTGCTGAAGACCTGCTCCTCCCGCAAAAGCAATTCCACTGCAGCATTGCCACAATTTAAAAGGGAGCGGCAATGAAGCTAGAGGCTTGTAATAACTTGAACCTCAGCCAATTTGAGATAAATGTTTCACACGACGCAACCACGTCATGCGTAGGAGAGCTACAAGCGAGCAGAGCTGTGGTCAGGCGTTTGGCGGGGCGTGGCGCACGCATCTTGTACCGTGTGGCTTATTGAGACATGAGAAACAGCAAGTTACACAAGCTTGTTGTTTCATTGCCACGCATTGTTCAATGGCGAAAAAGCTTCAATTCAACGGTTCAGACCTGCCACCCCAGACACAGAAAGAATCCACCTCTCATAAATCGCGGGCTAGAATGCATGGAAAGCGAAAGACGTTCGAGACGCTTCATACACTCTTCTTCGCTGCGGACGTCGAGGCGCATCAAGCTGGCTGGGCTCGGGGGTGGGGGGGGGGGGCCAGTGCGTTTTCCGCCAATCTTGAAGCAGATAAGCGACAGCAATTGGTAAAAAAATGGACACGCTTCACCAAATCCACTCCCCCCCCCCTCCCCACACTCCTCGCATCTGCAGCGGACAAGGCTACATGTGATAAGAATACCGTTGAGGGTCTAAAAAATCACAGGTTCCTTATTCAAAGCCAGAGAACAGGCAAGATGGATCCTCATGCAACTTGCTAATTAGAAACGTTCTAGCAACCTAGCACTGAGGCTTCTAAGCACGCATGAATACTCTAAGAAGTCGGTTACAGGCTGTGGGTACGATTGCTGGAGGTGGGCCGTGTTGCCAGTGCCACAGGTGGAAGCAGGGTAATCGTGATGTGTGAAATGATAATGTAGGCACGATCCTCCTCCCCCCCCCCTTCCGAGAAACGGTGTCAGTAGCAACCTAGCACTGAGTAGGACATCAGTAGGACCTCTGAACGGTAGTCTCGCGACGACCCCCCCCCCCACCTTCCCTAACACCTACCTACCAATTTCCCACATTTTCCAGTCCAGTTTTTCACCGAAAATTTTCCGTCGAGCGGGGGGTGGGGAAAGGGTACATAGCCAATTGACCAATGTGAAACGGGAAAATTTCATTAGATTATTCCCAACTTTCCTACCACTTTTTCCGAAATTTACCGGGAATCTCCCTACTGTTCTGAGAAAATTTACGACCTCCGCTCTCTCCCAACGACCAAAAACGATCCCCCCCTTTTCCCCAACGTAAAAGTACGACCCCCTCCCTCCCATGTGTTTCACACAACGATGCTGCACCGTGGGTGGAAAGGGTGCTTGGTCACACCCCACTGGCATTGGCGACAACGGCCCGCCCTCAGCCATCGTGCGCACTGCATCTAAAAAAGCTGGAATGACAAGAAAAAGGAATTACAATGGCGCTGATCTTCTCGATCAATTTCGTCTCATCAATCGATGGCGATGGAGATGGAACGTAGACAATATTCGACTTGGTATCCACATGATCCTGAATAGTTGTTGTCGTATGCAGGGGTTCGTGTACTAGTTCGGTCGCCTTCTGCTAGAATATCATATATGGATAAAAGAAAACGTTCGATAATGCTCACTTACTTCTATGACGGGAAGATGTGGTCGTTGGAAAATGCTGCCGATCATGTAGAAAACGGACATGATGCCGCTCCAGATCACGCTACACCAGCTGCGGATCCCGCTAGCAATCATTGATGCGAGATTAGAAAGCGATATGAGTCCACGGCTTAGATGTTTCTCGGTTGATGCCAACATTTCATGAGCGGAAGATTTGAATGACGCAACCTGAACAACTTCACCTCTGAGGGAAGGAAATGAAGGCGCTAGCAAGCGACCATGACCACAAAAATAGCAGAGAAAACGTTGGTTTCCAAGCTCTCAACTAGGGGTAACACAAGAGTATCAATTCAACTCTGCAAACAAAACCCACCAACTTGAAATCAACTTCAGTTGTCATTTAATGTCATACAGTCGCTCTCGCTGAAGTCAGTAGGTGCGTGTCAGCTGCGCGTGGGTTTGACACATAGCCAGCCCATTTTCCACCACTAATGGGCGACCAAGGGCGCTCAAAGCCGCAACGATCGATGAAAAGCAGCCCCGCACCGCGTCTAAACCCACGCGCCGCTGACGCGCCCCGACTGTCTTCAGCGATAATCACTGTGTCTTAGCTTCGTGCTCTGTATGGAATGTGGGGGACGGGGACAATAAATAAAGACACTTAACTCATAGAGTGCATCAAGGAGGTTTTCTTCGCTCAACGAGGAACCTGGTGGAAGGAAGTACCCCAACTGCCCAGGATTCTAACACTGGAGTTACTTTCCAAAACTTGACCTTACAAATCAGGCTAAATATCAGGCGCCGTGAGATCCCAGTACACTGGTCCGACGTCCTGAGGTACAAGTCCAGTATATCATTTACCCCGTTACTCCGTGCGAAAAAATGCGCGGATACTCTTTTATGAATGAGGTTTACTGCCCTATTCCCTACTGTAGTCGTTCAAGGTGTTCGAAAGAAAATGATAAAAAGAAAAAAAAACGAGAATAAACAAAATGCTTACCGAAGGCAGTTTGCTGTAAGTATCATGGCTAGTGCTGGCAAAGAAACCGACCACGGCTTTGGTAAGATCTGACACTGAAAATAATCCCGATTGAGCAGTTATTAATTTTTTTAGGCAGGCTCAAAGCATAGCGTTGAGCTAGAGCCTTCCGGAGAAGTCATAATTACAAAAGGAAAAAAAAACTCAAAACACATAACCATCGACCCGGATATGCGACAAGACAATCGTAACTCGCGCGCTAATAGCCGTCGCGTTCGACGTCGCGCCCGCAGAAGGCGATGTTTCTGGGTCGTGGCTGTCGGCAATAGACAATGGATAACCAAAATAGCCACAAATGTCTACGATGTCAAACCCGAAATGAACTCCAGCGCTCCCACTAACAAGCTAATGCAAACTAAGAAAATGCCGCGCGCGACAGTGCGGCAAACTTGCGATTGTCCTGGCCGTCTTCCGAGAAATTACGACTGAGAAAGGAACCTACATGATGTAGCGATGAGGTCGACTATGGTTCTTAACACTGTAGTGATGAAAAGATAACCATTTGATATCGCGGAAGTAATCCTGGATAGTAAACTGTAGCTGGCCACCTTCCCACTGCGCCAATATTCATCGTAAATGGAGTTCAGCGATTTTGCATAGATCTGAGTATGAACAAATGGCATATTCCAAGGAATACTCGAACAACAACTGAAGTAAACTCACCCTGTTAGAATCAACGAAATTATAGGCATAGTTGGATACTTGTTCGTGCAAATCGGAAACTGAAAAAAACAAGAGTTGGATTTTCTTGGCGTTCGTCCGGAAGTTCTAATTAGGAAGGTAACGGCTCATCGGATTGTAGGAAGGTATTTACTTCGTCAGTGTCCTTCCCCTTCCTAGCTTTCCAAGCTGCATAATCTACACTCCATATCCAGTAAATAGAGAGGCCGTGGCTGCTTACTTCATTCGAACGAAGCGGCGGCTGAACCTTTCATGTAATATTACCGTTCCGGAATTGTAGTCATGTCTCTGATCAGCCAAAACAGGATGACATCTGTTCTATATCGAAATATCCTTCAAAAAACCGTATCCACCCTATTTTCCAACGAAGTATGCGGCCACGCTCCCCACCTCTAGAACACAGATGGCAGTTCAACTTGGGCGTATCATTCTGGCAGCAGACCCGCCCTAAGTTAGAACTTGAGTTGAGTTAGAACGAAGATCCAAAGGTAAAACCCACCATCATGTCCAAGAATGATCAAGCGATCACTGTCACCACGGCGCGATAGAAGAAGTAGGAGCAGGATGACCAGAGGTAATAGCCACCATAGCCAACGGCGACGTCTTAATTATAATTTTTAGGATACTCACCGAAGATCTGAAGCGCCCTTTCTACAAATCAATAGACAAAAATACAAGAGGGAGCCAAAAAAGCGTACAGCAGGATCAGTGATAGTACAAGTCTCGACGGTCAGATGGACATTGCGTCTAATTCGCAGCAATCGAGGATGTGTGACAAGACTATCGTAATGTGCCACGCTAGCGGACGTAACGAGCGACGCTGCCCCCAACCAGAAGTACAATTCTCATCAGATAAAGCGCTATGAAAAATCTGCCCACCTACTGAACAGTTCACTGGTGACACTCTTGCTTGTCTCCCAGAGCCATCCAAATACAGCAGGCACTCTGAAAAATTGGCATATACAGAAACGTGATAATCAGTTAGAGGTCACCAAGCGACGTCGCGCTCGGATTCGGACGTAGGCCGCCCGCGGCAATCGATCCAAATGTTGCCCCCTCCCATCCAGACGCACGCTCTCCGTTCCCGAAGGCTGTACACATTGAATCAACTACAAGGAACGTCTCAGGACGCGACGCTACGTCTCATGGTGACCTCTTGCTATTCAAGCCAAAACCACACATTTCTACCGATCATATCTGCTAGAGGACAAGAACAAAATCAGACAGCCTAACTGGCATTTTGTCTGTCCTGTCACAACAATACCAAAACACTAATAAATGGACCAACTTTACCTCGAGATCAATCCACGGCAAAGGTCCGCAGCGGCAAAGGCTACAAATAGGAAGGCGCGACAGGGTAAGTACAGGATGTATGAAGCCATCGATTTTAGTTCAGAGGCGAATGAAGACGGCGGGCCACCGCTGAATTCAAAGCTAACAAAAGTAGAGTCAAATGAGTCATAATGGTCCTAACTTCATATTTACCAATGAGCAACGATCAGAATGCGGCCTCGAAGTATCGGTGAAGCGGTAAAATTTGGGTACTTATCGATAGCAAGAATAGTGTAGGCGAAATACCGAAAAGTCCGGCATACCAGTGAAAAGGATGAGATACGTATCGATCGGGATAATCTGCGACTCTCTATTCGGGCGCAGTCAACCTAACCGATTGAAAATTCTCTAGTTAATCTCAACGCACCCAATTCTTTTCACGGATGTGCATTTTCCCCGGTGTTTCGCATGCATGATTCTCCTCGCCGATAAGGACCCCATTCTCTTCACGGTTGTCCCCAATCGGTCGCCTACTGCGAACTATGCAGTAAGATTAAACTACTTCCTTTCTAAGAAAACTCACACATATGCTCTGCGCTCACTCCCGTCAATATTTTTGTAAGCGGGGGACCGGTAACCATAACGGTTTCCAGAACGAAGTTGCAGAGGTGACAAGTAATTAGCTTTAGTAGACGAATCGGAATCAGCAACATAGTATGAGTACCTAAATGGAAAATTCTAAGCTGATCAAAGAACTGGTGTAAAAAAAAGGAGAGGCGGACAAGACAATGTAATTCGTCGCGGTGTCGCGCGGCAGGAAAACTCTTCCATTGGGCCTGAAGTCGCTCGCCACGCCCACCTGTGCGGCATATTACGACTGTCTTGTCGCATAACCAAAGAAGTATGTACGCTTGATCGATTATATCGAATGGCTTCCTGAGACATGCGCCGATGAAATTGATTCCACACTGCGTATAGTAAACCGTTGACGACGCGGCCGAGCCTAGCCACGTGGCAATACGATGAGCCTAAAATATCCTTTCTCATAGGTGTCCTTGCGTTTGTATGCATTATGAGGGAATTAACCTTGGACATCTTGCGAGACTGGCCTGCACCGTACCCCGCAGCAGACGACGACACATCGAATCGAACGCTCTTACGAAACCTAAAAAACCGAGTTTAGTCAAAATCACAGACGGTGGGGTATAGAGTGTTACTCCCAGTTGCGGCGAGTGCGGCCAAGCAGGTGTTGTAATCGGGCTGAGGTACGCCGTTCTCGCACCAGACCCAATGGTTCAAAGTAGCAGTACTGCGTCTGCGTCCCCCAGGTTGCACATCTCTGTGCCTGTGGTTGTCCAAACGACTAGCTAGGAAATATGCTGCTAGCGCACCGTGCTACAACTCGAAGGTAACACTCCATATCCTAGACGAAGTCCCTTACTTACCTTGGAGTGTCATCATCTTCTGAGTCGTACGCGTTTATGGCACGGGAGCGAAGATAGTACTGCTTTTGAAGGTGACCATTACCGTAGCCGCTACAACAATTGATAAATAATTTTTATAATATTCCCAATAAATCGCCATACGAAATGTGAAAATACAGAATCTAACTTTGCATAATCGTCATCTAAAACAATATGCTTACTTTAGACACAAAAACCCGTACACGTAAGAAACATTCGGAGACTGAACCAAAATCCTAAACTACGAGAACAATCCCAGTTTTTTTTTGGGAATTTGAAGGATTTCAATTGCTAAAAATCATATACACCTACCTCGATGGCCCAGGTTCATCGTAAGTCTCTTCATCATCGATGAAGTCGCTGTCATAGTCCTGTAAGGGACGATTAAGTAACTGAAAAGGAGACAGGAGAAAAATACTACTTTCACCCCCCCCCCCCGCCACCATCTAGTGTGGACCACACTGCAACACCACACTGCAAATATTTCCGCTTATTTCTGAGTATATATTCTTTCCAAAACCAGAGCTAGGTCTTTCTTATTTCGAAGCGTGTTTTGAGAGGTCTAGAGAAAGAAAATGCTGAATACAGTCCGGTTCGCTGCGGATGAAGGGGCGCTGAAGATGGGATGATGAGTTTAGCACGGCGAAGCCTCCTCCACCAGTTGCTGAACTGAGCAAGCGACAAGATTGTATCGTATGTTCGCATCGTGGTTTTCCACCAATTGTTGTCACTTACTCGCTTCACCAAATGGTAGAGAACGAGTCCGGCGCAACGACAAACCCATCTCGCCGGACCACCCTTTCATACGCGAACCTGACTAGAAATCACATCAAGGGTGTCAGGGAAAAACCTAACAGCGCAGAAGCAAATGGGTGGAGGAGGGGAGGGGATTGACAATAACACCCATGGTCAGGCTGCCTTTATACGATGCTACAGGATGATGGGAGAACCGACGCTTTGACGATTCGAGGGAATGCGCGCAACGAAAATTATAAACATCGACCTGCTGCTTTCGTAGAATATGAGAATCGACGTTTCAGGTGAAGAAGCCTCCCAAAACGTCGAATCGCTAGGAACCACGCTTTTCAACATAAATAAACCCCTTTGAGGCGTCAATTCGTCGATCCGTCATTTCCTAATCCCAATACGCCATATCGATAGCAACAATTCTCTTTAATGCGCCTTCTCCCACGCCGTCGATTCGCCAACTCTTTCCCTCTCTAGTCGCAAAGTATGGACGCAGCCTCACTCGTGAAGTGAGCTCTAGTGCACTATATATCTCAACTAAAGAAATCAATAACTACAGTAACATTACTTACCTCGTCTTGAGTATTGGAGTATACTGAAGATGAGTAGTAAGACCTTTGACTTGGTTCATACAGTTGCTTCATAGCATTCTCCCTTGTGATTTGATTGCTCTTCTTTGCCAGAACGGTATGGTACATTCGTGTTAGAGCCAGATAGAACGAACGGAAGGAGCCAGAAACCAAATCCACTTAAATATAAAAGAAACTCTTGGTAGAAACAAAATTTGAACTCTGGAGGCTAGCGTCGCTCCTACTAGTTAAACTGACAAACTAACTGCGCACTAAATGTGGAAGTGTCTTACCTGGAGTGCGAGCAACTCTTCCGAGAAAGTACAGGAACTTCCAAATCATAATCGAGATCATTTCAAGAGTTGAAGGGCTATGAGCATATGCACGATTGAGCTTGTAGTCACGTCTCTTGTACATGCTGCCAGCAACCCATTCACCAAATCGAGCCGCTGAACAGAAGTGAGCTAGACAATTCCATTAAAAAATGATTTTATTTTGGCTCAAGGGCACGCCTAGCGTTTGAAATGGTGATTTGTGTGGCTCAAATACCATTGGGAGGAAGATGGGTGACACTTTGAGCGAAAAGCAGAAAAAAGCTGCTGGAATCGCCCGCGTAGTACCCTATGCCGAACCGAGTTCGTACGAGCATAAGGCGAAGAATGGGAGTGGTCTGGCGAGTTCTCCTTCATTGGTGTCAGCTCTTTCTTTTCAA